CCCGCGTGCAGGAAACGGGCAGCCCATAACACCTGGACGGTTCAACCCAACACAAATGAAGTCCGAGGTGGCTGAGAATCCTGGCTCGGGACCCACCGCAGCCCAGGACTCCTTGCAGGAGCACAGCTTGGACCTTAGAATGAAAGATCCTGGGTAAGAAAGGGTGGGCCTCTAGCACAGAGGAGAACAAACAACCCAATTTGAGGACATCTCCCCCCCCTCCCAAAAAAAAACCCCTTGCCATTGGCCAGCTCAGCTGGGCCCAAGACACCTGGAGATTGAGAGATTGAGATTGAGATTTATATGCCGCCCTTCTCCCAAGGACTCAGGGCGGCGTACAACAATTAAAAGAAGCACATAATACAAAAGTTTTAAAAAAAATGGACACCAGTTGCCTGTCCTTTGAGCTGCAGAAGACACAGATGTCTGGAAGTCTGTGCGAGTGGAGATACCTCCCACTCCAAGGAGATTAAGCTTTTCGGTGGCCCTGGTGTGTCTTAGCCCTCCCTGCCCATTTGACCTCCCAGTCAGAGTTCACCATCGTGGTTGAGCTATAAGCGGTGGTGGGATCCTACCAGTTTAACAACCGGTTCGGCGTTTGCGCGCGCTGCACACAGTTTTGAGAAAAAATGCCTTCCTCATTACCACTGGGGAGGAAAACAGCTGAGGCGTGGCAGAGCGGCGACTCAGCTGAGAAGATGTAGGTGAATAAAGCACAGGGATGGATGGGTGGGCCCACTTCATTGTCGGAGCGAACCAGTTTGTCCAAACTAGTCCGAACCGGCTGAATCCCACCCCTGGCTTCCCAGACAACTTCCTTCTCTATCTTCCAAGCCGTTGGCCTCCTCTCCCAACACAGTGGAGAGGAGAAGGCTCCCATCTGGGATCAGGTTTAGAAGGGGAGGTTGGGGTGCTTCCGGTGGGCCATTGGGTCGGCCTCCCTCATCCCCCGGGAGGGAGGGAGGGCTGGATCCCTGGAGAAGAGCGGGAGAAGAAAGCCTCGGGGACCTCCCTGACTTCCTCAGGGCCTTTTCCATGCCGGGTGGGCTTCCTTGCCTCCTAGTCCTTCGTACGCATCAGGTGGAAGGCGGGGAAAGGGGTTGCCAATTGGAAAGGAGAATTAATTGCCTCTCCCCATTGCACATCTTAACTAAACCCTGTTGGTTTGTGTGTTCCAGTAATGAATCAAATGGCCACACAGTCTCGGCAAATTCATCTCTTTTATCCTCGCTTATGAATAAGGTAAGAGCCATCCATCAAGAGCCTTTCATTCCCCCCCCACTCCCCCACCCACCCAGAGAAATTAAAGCCAGAGAGGGGGAGAACGCGTTTGTTTTTTAATGTTTTGCCTCTAATAAGATGAGTTTGTACCATTTAAATTTTGAGACCATTTTTCATCGGGTATAATTTCAGAGCCACTGCTTACGAATTAATTTAATGAACTGGCTGAAGAAATATATTGCAGCCCCTGACACACACTTTCCCTGTGTGTGTGTGTGTGTGTCTCTCTCTTTCTATCTTCCTCCCTCTCTGTCTCTCTCTTTCTCTTCTTTCTCCCTCTCTGTCTCTCTCTTTCTTTCTCTTTTTCTCTTTCTCCCTTTCTCCCTCTCTGTCTCTCTCTCTTTCTATCTCTTTCTCCCTCTCTCCGTCTCTCTGTGTCTGTCTCTCTCTGTGTTCCTCTCTCTGTCTCTCTCTCTCTCTCTTTTTCTATCTCTTTCTCCCTCTCTCTTCCTCTCTGTCTCTCTCTGCCTCTTTCTTTCTGTGTGTCTCTGTCTCTCTCTCTGTCTCTCTCTCTTTCTATCACTTTCTCCCTCTTGCTGCCTTTTTCTCTCTGTCTCTCCTTCCCTCTCTCTGTCTGTGTCTTTCTCTCTTTGTGTGTCTCTCTCTGTGTCTCTCCGTCTCTCTCTCTCTCTCTCTGTGTCTCTCTCTACCCACCCACCCCATGGAAGGAGGAGGACTCTGAGTTTGGGCTTGTTTTTTGTTTTTTTTCAATTTCAGAGCCAGCCACTTCTTTTGCTTTACGAGCGCTGTGTCATTTACATTTAAAAGTTTCGAAGGGGTGGAGGAGTCTTCTTTTTCCTTTGTTTTTCCGAGAATGGAAAAGAAGAAGGTGGAAAAAAAAAAGGCACACCAAAATTTGGAGCTAGGCAGACTTCTCTTGAAAGTCTTTTGCTTTTTAAAAAAAATATATGCACTGGGCCCTTTTACGAAGACCATTATTTAAATTATGCATCTGTCTGTGATGTTTTTTTTTCTCTCCCCCTCCT